GTGGAGCAGCCGGTACTCAACCCAGCACTCATGGGATGCAGGTGGTGGCTTGATCCAATGAGCCAGGAGGCTGGCCCAAGGATCGTTTCATATATTTATTTGTCATCGGTATGTCTTCTTGGATGAAGTGTCTACTCAACGTGCTGACTTTTACATGGGAATGTTTGCTTACCACTGAGCTCTGTGTGATCACCACATATTCAGGATAGGAGCTCTCTCTGAGATCTGTGGTTTTGCACGTGTTTTCACAAGCTGAGGCTTATCTTTTCATCATCCAGACGCTGTCTGTTTAATGATCACAATCTTTAATGCATCAGTGTATGTGACATGCTTTTTGTATTAGCTGAGTCCCCCTTGCGTCTGCCTTGTGTTTCATCCGTGGCCAGCTCCCAGACACAGTCAGCTGTGCCGAATGCCGCTGAGAAGTCAGAAGCCTGAAGAAACGTGCCCTGGATTTACCTACGTGGAAGCAGCCGGTCTTAATGCCGAGACATGATGCAGGCTGTTGCCAGGTGGAGCAGGGTGGGCTGTGAACAGGGGGTGAGGAAATGCAGCTACCACCTGAAGACAGCTCTGGAGAAGTTTGGCTCTGAATGACAGAAGAGAGATGGAGTTGGCTGAAGGGCTCCATGTGATCCAGGTCAAAATAATCAATCACATAAACGATGATAGGAGAAGACACTGAAAAACTATGGCATGCAACACAAAAAACCTGAAATATGTTATATAAAATTGTTCAAGTACAAGCATTAAAATGCATCCACCTGCATGTGTATTGTTGAGGATTTTCAAAAAAAAACAAAACAAAACAAAACAAAACAAAAAAAACCCGAATCCTTTTATTAAAGGAAGTTCTGTGTATAACCTCTGGTTAAAAAAATCTCCCAGCTGAAGTGGGGGATGCCCTGGCAGCCCCTGTGTGAGGAGCAGCAAAGGTGGGGAGAGGTGGCACACGTGTCATTAAATGGGTACTCAGTAGTGACTTCCTCTGGAAATGCATGTAAGCCACTTGTGCAGGTGCATCATGTACAAAAGAATAAAAGATGGGGAGGAATCCGAGCCAGAAGTTAGCTGTCAGAAGAGCCCAGCCCAATCTACACATGCTGGTTCTGCACCAGCCAGTGCTGCTGGAGAGCTGAGCGTTTTGCCCCTAAGCATCCCAGTCGCAGATGCAAACAGATACGCAAGATGACACCCAAGAATCAGAGCGTCTTGAGGGAGGGGAGCCCAGGTGTTCAGGAAAGCAACTTCTCATGGTAATGAGGCCTGAGAGAGATGTCTCCTGAGAATTCTCACACTGGGGAACCAGGGTGTCACGAGCAGCGTTCTCAACAATCTCCTCTCTAGCAGATGTGGTGGTAAATTTTGTGCACCTGTTTCTTATTTTTCTCAAGCAGCTAATGGGATAACATCAAAGTGCAGTCTAATGAAAGCCAGTCTTGTGAGATCAAGGAAGTGTGCAGGGGGGTGGAGCACTTTCTAATACCCAATCACAGTCCCCTGGTGACATGGCAAACTCCCCTCCACTCCACATAACACATGTGCTTACCTGCTCTGGAAAAACCATCATCCATCGCTTTATCGATTTTCATGTATGAGAAAGGAATGTGCAGTCATTGCAAGCATACAAATGGTGGTGAAATTTGTAAGCATGAGAAGTGTAATTCCCAGTGACCCCATCCTTCACAGGTAACTGTGGATTTCAGTTCCAGTCAGTTCCAGTCTGTTCTGAGACAACTGGACACGTGTGTAGCACTTGTGGCCGCTGGCCCCGCTGGCCGTGGAGGTCACTAACATACTTGGAAGTTACTAACCTACTTCTGTCACAGAAGTGTCCTCCAAGGTACAAGGCTTCACCCACACACACGAACCTTCTGAGAGTGACAGTTGGGTAGGCAGGTGAGATGTCTTAAGCCAGACACACGGAGTTGGCTGCCTGGAAACCCCTTCAGTTCTGTCTGTGTTTACAAATGCACTGCACCGTGGCTGGGGGGCTGCCCGGTGGTGAGGGGTGAAGGTGCTGTTACTCAGCTGCCTGGGTTTGAATCCTGCTGTGTGTGTGTGTGTCCTTGGGCCACTTCTCTCTGCCTCAGTCTCCTCTCTCAAATAGGTAGAGATACACAAAGACTAAGGACATTAATAACGAAAAAGCACGAGATACCAAAATCCAAGTGTGCTTACATAAAAGGGTATCTCTCTCTCTCTTTCTCTCTCTCTCTCTCTCACACACACATACACACTCTCCTGTATACCCTCAATCATCTCTTATGCCTATCACACCTAATACAATGCCAATGCTATGTAAACCGCTGTTATGCTTATTGGTCAGGGAAAATGATAAGAAGTCTGTAGATGTTCAGCACAGACACAATTTTCTCTGTGAATAGTTTTGACCGTGGAGGGTTGAGTCCATGGTGCAGAACCCATGGAGAAGGGGGCTGATTGTATCTGCAGATTCAGAATAATCTACTCTCTGCATGCCACACACTGACTCTGACACTTCAAGCCCATCTCCCCTTCCCGCTGCTTCTGCACTGGGCCCAGGCTGAGCACACGAAGCATCAGCACCCATGTTTTTCATGGCCAATCACCTCCCAGACTGCCACATCAGGACTTCACATCCATCTGCACACCCTCTCTACACTCATGTTTTCTATTAATCAAATATAACTTTGTATGTGCTATTGAAACCAGGAATTGGGCCTCGTGTTTAAGACACCTGTGTCCCACATTCGTGTGCCAGGATCCAATTCCCAGCCCCAACTCCTGATTCCAGCTCCTGCTGATGCAGACCCTGGGAAGCAACCGGTGATGGTTCAAGTAGTGTTCTCTCTCTCTCTCTCCCCCTCCCTCCCTCTCTCTCTCTCCCTATTCTACTCTCTCTCTTTCTCTTTTTTAAAGAATATTTATTTATTTGAAAGGCAGAGATTCAGAGAGAAGGAGAGAGAGAGAAAAAGAGAGAGACAGAAGAGAGAGAAAGATCTTTCATCGATGGTTTGCTCCCCAAATAGCCTCACCAGCAGGTGCTAGGCCAGGCAGAAGCCAAGAATGAGGAGCTTCTTCCGGGTCTCCTATGTGAGTGCAGGAGCCCGAGCACTTGGACCATCCTCTGTTCCTTTCCCAGGTGCATTAGCAGGGAGCTGGATCGGAAGTGGAGCAGCTGGGACTCAAGCTGGTGCCCATATGGGATGCTGTCACTGCAGGTAGAGGCTTAACCTTCTATAGTACCGTGCTAGCCCCCTCTCTCTTCCTCTTGAATAACTTTCTTTAAAAAGAGTACTTTTATTCTATTATGAAAATTGTTATTTAAACATTTTTAACTTATTTATCTGAAAGAGAGGAAGAGAGAGCTTCCATTTGCTAGTTCACTCCCCGAATGCCTGAAATGACCAGGCTGGGCCAGGCTGTAGCAACATGGCTGGCAAGGACCCAAGTACTTGAGCCATCACCTACTGCCTCCCAGGTGCACATTAACAGGAAGCTGGAGTCAGGAGTGGAGCCAGGACTTGAATCCACCCAGTCACTTTAAGATGTGCACATCTCAACTGGTGGCTAATGCACTAGTCCAAACACTTATCCCCCCACCATTACTATTTCTTTGGATGAACTTATGAGAGATTAGAAAATAGCTTAAGAAATGGTTACTATTGACACATTTGTCATAGATCAAATACTTTGGGTAGTAGAGCATGGACATTATGCATTATATTTTACTAAATTTAATTACTATGTGAATTCTTTAAATTTCCAGTGTCGCTTGAAAATAGATTCCAAGTTGCTTGACAAATGCCACCTAACGTAAGAAAAACGCTCCCTGAGTGCGCCTGTCCGGACAGAGGAGCTCTTCAGGCAAACCCCAACTCCGCGACAGCGTCCTTGGCTCTTTTCCAAACCAGCTACTGAGTCAGCTTGATTGTTTTTTGGTGGAGGAAGACTCCACAATAACCATCTTTATTCACCTGCAGAAGCACATTCTAGAAACTTCCAAGTGAGTGCTGACAAACAATGATCTTTTCATGCTCTGGGTGGGTTTCCCCAGAGCCCACTGCCAGGTGCTCCAGAAAGAGCAAAGGCACCATAAATGTCCCTAAGTACACACATTGAGCCAACGTATTTCTTCTGGGAGCTTCTGCTGAGCTACGATGGCCACGTACTTTGTAACCTGAAACATGGAGCAGTTTTGCTCTCATAACTAGCTCTGGTTATAGAATTCTTGTCCAGAAATTGCCAGTATGCATATGCAAGTCTGATTCTCAGTAAATATGCTCCAACTCTGCTACATAAAATACCTTGAACTAATGTTTATTTTGCATCTTTTTTATGGTCTGAAATATGGCAATTCCTCCATATGCTCTAAAGCTAAGATAACTCTGTTGAGTCTAAATAATATATTTACTCGTCTTCAGGGTGTGAGATGAAAACACAGTTTCATCTGTTCCTTTGTGAGACAGCATTAGAATTTTTCATCAGTCAGGGGATTAAATGCATGAACAAACACAAAAAGTAAAATCTTGTGGGAGCTGTCATTTTGATAGCTAATTGGTGGCTTCAAAACAGCAAAGGAGGGGCCAGCATTGTAGTACTGCTTAGCCACTGCCTGCAATGCTGACGTTCCATAAGAGCATCAGTTGGGGTCCTGGCTACCTCAGTTCTGATCCTCCACCTGCTAATGTACCTTGGAAAGCAGCAAAAGATGGTCCAAGTGTTTGGGCCCCTGCCACGCACATAGGAGGCCCAAATAGGGTCCTGGCTTCCTCCTGGCCCAGCTCCAGCCATTGCAGGCATTTGGGGAATGAACCAGAGGAAGAAGATATTCTCAATCTCTCTCTCCCTCCCTCTCGCTCTCCCTCTCCCTCTCTCCCTCCCTCTCCCTCTCCCTCTCCCTCTCCCTCTCCCTCTCTCTCTGTGTGTGTATGTGTGTATCTCTGCCTTTCAAGTAAATACATCTTTTTTAACTTTTATTTAATAGATAGAAATTTCCAAAGTGCAACTTTTGGATTACAGCGGCTTTTTCCCTCCATAACCACCCTCCACCCACAACCATCCCATCTCCCACTTCCTCTCCCATCCCATTCTTCATCAAGATTCATTTTCAATTATCTTTATATACAGAAGATCAATTTATTATATACTAAGTAAAGATTTCAACAGTTTGCACCCACACAGAAACACAAAGTATAAAGTACTGTTTGAGTACTAGTTATACCATAATTCACATAGTACAACACATTAAGGACAGAGATCCTACATGGGGAGTAAGTGCACAGTGACTCCCATTGTTGATTTAACAATTGACACTCTTATTTATGGTGTCAGTAATCACCCGAGGCTCTTGTCATGAGCTGCCAAGGCTATGGAAGCCTCTTGAGGTTGACAACTCTGATCTTATTTAGACAAGGCCATAGTCAAAGTGGAAGTTCTCTCCTCCCTTCAGAGAAAGGTACCTTCTTCTTTGATGGCCCGTTCTTTCCACTGGGATCTCACTCACAGAGATCTTTTCATTTTTTCTTTTTTTGCCAGAGTGTCTTGGCTTTCCGTGCCTGAAATACTCTCATGGGCTTTTTTAGCCAGATCTGAATGCCTTAAGGGCTGATTCTGAGGCCAGAGTGCTGTTTAGGACATCTGCCATTCTAAGAGTCTGCTGTGTATCCCGCTTCCCATGTTGGATTGTTCTCTCCTTTTTTATTCTATCAGTTAGTATTAGCAGACACTAGTCTTGTTTATGTGATCCCTTTGACACTTAATCCCATCATTATGATTTTGAACTGAAAATATAATATCATATAATTTTGAACTGAAACTGATCACTTTGACTAGTGAGATGGCATTGGTACATGCCACCTTGATGGAATTGAATTGGAATCCCCTGGCAAGTTTCTAACTCTACCATTAGAGGTAAGTCCGAGTGAGCATGTGCTTAACTGTACATCTCCTCCCTCTCTTTTTCCCACTCTTATATTTAATAGGGATCACTTTTCAGTTAAATTTAAACACCTAAGAATAATTGTGTGTTGGCTGGCGCCATGGCTCACTAGGCTAATCCTCAGCCTGCGGCATCGGCACACTGGGTCTAGTCCTGGTCGGATTCTGTCCCAGTCGCTCCTCTTCCTGTCCATCTCTCTGCTGTGGCCCAGGAGTGCAGTGGAGGATGGCCCAAGTCCTGGGGCCCTGCACCCGCATGGGAGACTAGGAGAAGCACCTGGTTCCTGGCTTCGGATCAGCGCAGTGCGCCAGCCGCAGTGGCCATTGAGGGGATGAACCAACAGAAAAGGAAGACCTTTCTCTCTGTCTCTCTCTCTCACTGTCCACTCTGCCTGTCAAAAAAAATAAATAAATAAATTTAAAAAAAAAGAATAATTGTGTGTTAATTAAATAGTTCAACCAATGGTATTAAGTAGAACAAAAAATACAAAAGAATAAAGTAGTAAATATATCTTTTTTAAAAGTTACAAATGAAAGAGTCAAATGCACATCTCAAGCTCAATTACAAAAATATGTGTAAACGTTTGTTCGGAAAGATTCTCTAAGGAAGATGTTTCCCCCCAAAGGGAGGATTGTCATTTTTCCATGTCTGTATTCCTTGTCACAATGGAGGCATGGCAGGTGCTCAGTACCTGTTGACCTGAATCCACTGTTAGCATCTAGGGTAGGTGACACAGCACAGTGAGTGAAGCCACTCTTGGGACACCCACATCCAATATCAGAGTCCAGTGCAAGTTCCAGCTACTCTGCTGCTGATCCAGCTTCCTACTAGTGCACTCTGGGAAACAGCAGATGATGGCTCAAGTGGTTGGGTCCCTGTCACTCATATGGGAAGACCTGGATCTAGTTCCTGGCTATTGGGTTTGGCCAGGCCTTTCAAATAAGTTTTTTTTTTAATCAGTAAAAATCTTTTAGAGGCAGTTAAAAATATGTCTGTCTTGCTAACTTGATGTAGAGCTACCCTACATCAGTTTTATCAGATGGTCTTGAGTCTCCCTGTCCATAAGAGAAAAGAGCTCTGGGCTGCTGGGAAGACCAGTGACAATGGACGCTGGGGAGCCAGTGCAATGAAAAAGATGCTCTGGTTATGAGGACCTCGTGATAAGATCTTGACCACCATCAGCAGAAAATGAGCTCTCTCTAAGAATGCCAACCAAGCCCTCTCTCCGCGTGTCTTTGTTATTCTATTAGCTCACCTGTATTTCTAAAAACCTGGTTCAATTTCCTGCATTGGGGTAAAATGTTGATTCTGATGGTCTCTTTCTCTTATGGTGAGGGGTCCCAGAGTAATTATTCATTCTAAATATCAGGTAGGGTTATTAAGTATACACAAATATAAGAAGTGTCAGAAACTGGTTCAGCATGTATTGGGCCCACCTCATTCTGCAAGATGTTTTAGTGTTGCCTTATTGTTTTGAAAGCCGTAGTATCAGTTGTTCCCTTTAGATTGCCTAGTTTCTTTCCCCTAAAAGTAGAGTGCAGAAACCATTTAAAGAGGTGCTCTTATTGGTCAGGTCCGACGAGCACACTGAACATACCAGTTTGACACACAGAACTCAGGAATGTGAGGACTGCAAAAAAAAAAAAAAAAAAAAAAAAAAAAAAAAAAAAAAAGAGGCTTTCCACCTGCCCAGGTGTCTAAGAGGCAGACTCTCAGATAAGGGTGGGCCGTGCAAACAGGTGCTCCACTCACCAGTCACAAGATAAGCCTCCAGGATGTGAAGTGTGAAAAGCACCACTCACCACGCCAGGCTTTACCGGTGACAGGGGGTGTGTGTGCACACAGGGCTCTTTGTGGGTCCTCTGTGGGGGCCTCTTGGAATTTCTGAGACCAGGATGCTAGAGAGCCAGTGCACAGCTTGTGCATCTGTGAGCTGGCGCGGCAGCCGCGGAGGAAAGCTGAGGCTCGAGGAGGGCTTTGTCACCTGCGACTGAGGGCTGTTTGCGGGCACTCCTGGGTGCCTCACTGCTTGACATCAAGTTGTCCATCTCCCTGTCATCAGAGAGCTCATGAAGCGTAGCAGTGGGTCCCGGGGCTGCTGCTCAGCCCGGACAGGAAATCAGCCTGTTTTCCCAATGGAGGCATTTGAAAGATTTCTCGCACCTGGGAGTGCTAGTAACGGTTTGAAATGGAACACCTGAGATGCTTCTCCGGTCGGGGATCCAGTGTTGGTGTGAAGGCTGTGTCCTCTGACTCCCTACCCCTTGCCGTGGGCAGCTATGCTCGCTTTGGGGCCTTTTCCTTCTTGCTGCCTTACCACCTCCCAGAAATGGCCTTGCCCCAGGGCCCTGGCAGCTTCAACACTGGGAGGAATTGCTCCAGGTAAGTGAGCTAGAGGAGATCCCTGGAAACCCGTAGAACATTTCGCTGTCTTCAGCAAGACTGGCCCTCGGGAAAGGCCGGCCTGCTGGCCCACCCCCTCACTCGGAGCTAGGGTCACGGAAGGCCTCTCTGCTGGCCGGCCCAGTGTCCCCTCCATTAGGCCTGGCTGTTTCTACACCCGGGACCCTGCTGTGAGGCCCAGGGCCCCTGCATGGCTACATGGGACGGGGACAGCCGCCACCCAGTTTTCTTGGATCGTTTCCTAAACGGCCATGATTCCTGGCAACCGAGAAGCGCTTCCAGGGACAGGACGTGGACAGGGGCGGAAGAGGGCGGAAGAGGGTGGAAGAGGGCGGAGAGGAAAGCCTGAGTTCTGCTGACAGGGTGGAAAGGCTGCTGGGAGGGGCTGACTCAGCGGGAGTTCACCTTCCTTCCAGGCCCCTCTCCGGGCCCCCGGTGTCAGGGTCAGCAGTTCATGCATAAGAAATCAGGATTCTTTGGAGCAATTCATGCTGCCAAATCCACACTGACAGGCCGAGCCAAGCCCCCTCTGCATCTGAGGGTCATTCACTCTGCGTCAAGCGGGCTTGACAATTGCTCAAAGGGAAATGAGAGGATTGTTTTGTCTAAATGAGTCAGCTTGCCTTGAATTAGCACCACTTGAAATGGACCTTTCAATGATATTCAGACAGGTTCGCATGGCCTCCCATGAACAGCATCAGTAAACATGACATGCACTACGCACCTCTCAGCTTTTGTTCTATGTCATGTTTGGGAAACAAAATAAGTCGGGCATACTGTACGGTCTAGGTCACTCCAGCAAGTCTGGAGGTGACAAGCTCAAGTCCAGAGCATGGGTTCACCTTGCAATCCTCAGCTGTGAGGACACAGAGAAAGAATGAAAACCCTACAAGGTGGCAGATAACCAGCCCACCTCTTCCTCCTGTCCCCATCCCGACTTGTGATGTCCCTTTCTCTCTGAGCGTGGCTGGCTCTTGGGGAGAGATAATGGGATATGCAATTAGGCATTCCACCTACCTCCTTGAGGGCTGGAAGGAGCATGATTAACCAACAGCAGGGCTGCTGGAGAGTTGGCTGTGCAGATACCTGGATAAACACTGGAACATACATCATATTGATAAACTATTTCTAACTGAGATGGGGAAAGGGATGAGTCCATGCTATTAGGAATTAAAAAAGCACACAGACTGTGTGTTCAGACAGGAGATGGGAGACTTCTTCCTCATTCCAGTCATTCCAGAGGCACGTGAGGTTTCCCCATCATGTCCAGCCTCTGCGTGAGCGGTGATGATGTCACAGAGAGAAACGTTTAACTCGTGGTGGTGCCAGCTGCTCTGTTGGGAGACACAAGGCAACGTCAGCCGCAGACACTCCCTCAGCACTTCTGTGTTCTTGTTACCTTCCTCCGTGGGTGAAACCGGTGCTTTGGCAGCGGGATTTGCCATATTCACCGAGTTCTCAAAAACTCGAGCCACCTAGACGCAAATGTTGAGTTAAAGCAGGAGCAGGACTGGCCACGTTTTCTCGGGGAACTCATTCTTTCCCTCTCCCAGACATCTCCTCAAATCCTGCAGCATTCCTCCCCTCCCAACTGGAGACCTTGTTTTCCACGTGACTGACACCATAGAAACACCCAGAAGGCACCCTCCCTCTCTTCCCTCTCCCAGACTCACCACCCATCTAACCTGACACTCCGCCCTCCTTCCTGCTCCATGGGCTGACCCACCCCTGTTCCTCCTACGGCTGCTCCTTAGTCCAAGACTACTTCCTCAGAAGATTCTGAGATGAGGATTTGGGGGAAGCCATGTCTCAAGGAATGTTTCCAGGAGAACCCAGTGAGGGTTAGAGTCGACCAGGAAAGGAGGGAAGGGGCAGAAGTAAAGCAAAGATATGATTGCAGGTGAAATTCCTGGGAGCAAAGCTTTGGTTGGATCCTGCAGAACTTTGGAGTGTCCTTTATGTCTGGATTCATCCGGGCCAGGAAGCTGGCCCTTATAATAAGGGCTCTTTGGCCCTTATTAGTCATTGCCCGAGGAGGCCCACCATCTGTGGATGCAAACTCCCAGAAGTTTATGGCTCTTTGTAGGCACAAGCTAAAGTGTCCAGTGACTGCAGCATGGGGTCTGACGAGTCGAGTGATGAAGCAGACGCACCAAAGGATGCCAAGTATGTGATGGGATGCGTTGGATGTGGTAAGTTACAGAAGAAAGGTTCATAGCGTAAGAGATATTGTAGATGTGGAACTGGGGATAGGATAGCAGATTGCATATCATCTATGGCGTGGGGCAAATCTCAAGAAATCTAGGTGCCTGCATCGTGTCACAGCATCTTGTACGGGTGCTGGTTTGAGTCCTAGCTGCTCCACTTGTGATCCCGCTTCCTGCTAATGCACCTAGGAAAGCAGTGGAGGATGGCCCAAGGACCTGAACTCCTGCCATCCACATGGGCGACCCAGAAGGAGCATTTGGCTCCTGGCTCCTGGCTTTGGCTCAGCCCCAGCTCCAGTCATCGTGGCCATGTGGGAGTGAACAAGCAATGGAAGATATCTCTCTCTTTCTGAGTGTCTCTCCCTCTCCCTGTAACTTTTTCAAATAAGTAAGTCTTTAAAAAAATAAGTAAGTAATTAAAAATCAGGTGAAATCCGAGTGAAGACATGAATGAGGCGAAGCGGGGAGGGAAGAGCATGCTTGGGCGAGAGCAGCTCAGGCAGGAGATTGCTGGAGAAAACCCTCCCCGGAAGGAACGTGCCTGGCAGGAGGCTGGCTGAGACTCTCCTGGGCTTGGCAGCAGCACATTCCAGACGCAGCATCTCGGTCAGAGTCACTGGTGAGGGGAGGGGAGGAAGGAGAAGGAGGAGGTGAGGGCAGAGAGGTCGTGGGAAGGGTGGTCGGATCTCGCAGGACCTCGAAGAATATTCAAAGTATTTTGCCCCAAGGAATGAAATAGTTTATGCACTCGGAGGACTGGCAGGGTCTGACGCAGCTTCCCCACCCTCGCTCAGTCTCCCTGCCCACTGTGTCGTCATAACGCTCGTCTCCTCCTACAACTCGTTCCATATCTGTCTACTCGCTTGCTTATTCTCTGATTCCCTGGTTAGGATGCAGGTTCCCCAAGGGCAAGCGCTTGATGTTGCGTTCGCTCTTGTACTCCAGGTGCTGCCAACAGTACTTGGTGCATTCTAGGCTCAGAATGAATCCACGATAGAGTGAAAGAAAGTGGGAAGCTGGCGTCAGACCCGTGGATCTGTGTCAAGTGCGTTACCCAGTGGGCGTGAACCCTGCCTCCTATGTGCATCCGTAGCCAGGGTCCTGGACGCTTTGGTCTATGTGGCTGGGAGACCCTGTGCCCCTGCAGTACCCAGTACACTAAAGCCACCTGTCCTGACAGGTTGATTTTTCCATGAGCCGTGTCTTCAATGGTGAAACTGCCCTCTCTACATCCGGGTCCTTGGTAGCCAGGCCTGCGCCATCCTCAGCTCTGACTGCAGCACGGATTTGCTTTCAAAGAAACATCAACGCCACACCCATTGGCAGAAGTGCTCTGTGTGAGGGTCGCACTGGAAGCTCATAGGAGGGCACGCATCTTCCAAAACGCCTGTGGGAAAAACAGAGGAGAATTTCCAAAGCAAGCAGAAGTGACAGTACCTTATGTCAGCTGGTCTAAAACCCCACCGAATCTTTCTGAAAGGAACAGAGGATGCATTTCTAGACACATCTCTTCAGTCCTCAAAGAGCCAAAGCGTTAAATATCTGTCAGAGACCTTGCAGCTTACACGGTAACAAAGACGGTGGCGCTGAGGGCTTCCTCCCATCAAGGCGAGTTGGGGGGAGTTCATTAACCACAGCACGGTGCTAATTCCATGGAAGACGGGTGATCATTTTGGTCACCCTTAGTCCCTATGGTATCTTTACTTCTGTGGTAGCATTTGCCCACGTTTTACCTTTACCACTCAAATAGTAATGTGGTTTAATTGTCTGTTTGCACTATTATTCTCATAACACAAGGATATTTGTATTCAAGAAGTTCATGGAAAATGGAACGAAAAGATATGATTGATTTGCTGCAATTTTGAAGTCAAGCATGGCTTTTTTATTTTTGTTATGCTCATTTCCCATGAGCTTTTTGAAGACTGTTTGCACTGATTTTGAAGTAGCACACACACAAAATAAATATGCTTTATTTACCTCCCCCAGTCCACAGCCCCAAGAAGGAAGTATCAACAAGGAATTTTGAAGTTGATGTATTTTTGAGATCTATTGCCCAGTGTGGGAAATACAGCTAATAATTGAGTGCTATGCATTTCTAGTTTACAAGGAGAGTAAATTTCAAATGTTCTCTTCACAAAGAAGTTGAACATTGGAGGCAATGGATTTGTTTGTTAGCCTACTATAACCATCTGAACTGTATTCAAAATATCATTTTGTTCCCCTACTTGTAAACTATAATTTGTCAGTATACAAAAAAACTTTTAAAAAATAAAGGTAAAGCAATAAGATGAATATTGACAAAGAAGGTACTTCTTCATTCATATTATGATGTTGTTTGTAGAAATTCTGTATGCTTTTTGGGTATGTGGGCTTTTCTTATATTTACTATTTGGGAACTTTGCAAGTTTGAATAATTGGAGGTAGGAGGGTGAAGCAATATATTGTCAAGATGTCTACATGAACACCAGGCACCATGCTAAGTGCTGTGCATAAACTCATTGAACCCCATAACATGCCATGGAGGGAAAGCTGTTCTGTCCATTTGATAGATGGTAAAGTGGAGGCACAGAGAGGGGAAGTAACACCCAGTTCATGTGGAGATCTGGCTTGTGAGCCTCTGCACATCATGAGTTGTCCTGTCCACTTGCTGCCAATCACGGTTTCAAATATGGCCCTCTTCCTGCTCCCGCGAAGGGTTGCTGGCTCCGGGTTCTATTCTTGTCCTGATCTTGGTGATCCATGGGGAACTGAGTTCCCTCGATCTTCAGGAAGCCATAAAAGTGAAGGGAAAGGTGTTGTTTTGGTCAGACAGAGGCCCTCATGTTCCTTTCTACCGTTTTGTTTTGGTTGTTGTTCAATTCCCCTCCTTTATCTCTGCTCTCTGGTTGGCGTAGACCAGCCCAGGTTTTCCTCTATTTGGAAAATTCTGGAAGTGAAGTGAGTGAACAATTTAGGTGAGCAAACAGATGTTAAGGAAGTGGAAACAGCTGGTGCTGGGGAGGCTGGCGGCCTGCACTGTTTTCCTGTGAGGGTGTCCTTGGAAGAGCTCCCCAGCCTGCTCCTGGGGGAGTGGCTCTCTTCCCCTCCCCACCTCCCTAGCTCCTTCTTCCCCGCCCTTCCCTCTCCTCCTTCCTCTCTCCATATGTCCCCTCCCTCTCCTCCTCCTCCTCTTTTGGGGAGGGAAGGGAGGAGGCGCAGGTGGTAATGGCTGTGACTGTGGTTTTTGCCTCGAAACACACAATGCTATTGTCTACAGAGCATTGACCTCGTGGGATGGCCAGGACCACAGGGCTGGGGTGGGGACACTCAGGAGGGGAGGGGCAGATGGCCATGAGGAGCCCCTGGCAGGCAACCAGTGCGTTGATTGGAAGTACTACGATAACATGCAACCAAGCTAAATGATACCCTTGTCCCTAATGATAACAGAGATGATAATGAGATACTAGTCTACATTTTTATACACGTGCACCCTTTTCCTGCTTATATCAGCCCTTTGAAGTATATAGAAATATAATATATATTACATATAATATATATAGTTAGTATTCTCTGTCTTACAGATGTGCGAACTGTTTAGTCACAGGGAATCGGGATGACTTGCTTTGATCACCAGGCCCACACATAGAGCTGAGACGCATGGCCAGCGTGACTGCTCGGAGCTGCAGCTTTGGGAGCCCAGCCTTGAGCCTCACACCGTGATGGCAGAGAAGAAACCTGAGAGCTGGGCCTGTTTTCTCCGGATGAGTGCTTTGTGTGGAACACAGTCAGGCAATGGCACTTAATGGGATGCAGATGTTTCTCAACTCTTCTGACAACATCACACATGATCATGTAGCTGGATGCAGGTGTCCGTTAAGGGAACACATTTTGTCTGCACACGTGTTACCTCTGCCTGGTCTGCTAGCCTCGACTGAGAAAAAAAAATGCCCCCAAAACAAATTACGTGTTTGCTTATTCAATTATTTACTAATTCATTTGCTAATTATCTGCTGTGTGGCAGACACTGGCAAAAGGGAGAGCTGGGTTTCGTTGAGAAAACAACTGAGGAAAACCAAGCGCAGTAACACAGCGTGAAAAAAATGAGCAGAAACCAGAGGAAGGAGCAGCCGGAATCGCTCTCCTCCGTCTCGGGCAGGACACAGCCAACCTCGGGAGAGGTTCCTTCAGGGAGACACGGGGTTTGCACCATAGAATTTAGCGCTACGAGACAGCGGGGTAATGAACACAAACAGCATTTCTTCTCCCTGGCAGGAGCACAGGGCACGCAAGGGCCCTGCTGGGTTCACACTAATCCATCACGCCTCCTGGCTTGCCATCCGCACCACAGGTGGTCGAGTGCTGCCCTTGGTCTCCTGTCTGACACAAGCCCTTGCCTCTGCACTGTGCAAGCAGGAAGTGTGCAAGGCAGTGCAATGCTTTTCAAAGTTGACTAATGACACAAATGTTAGTTACACCTGTCATGTGCTGAACTGCGCCCTCCCCAGAATTCAGTGTTCAAGTCCTCACCCCTAGCACCTCCGAATGGAACTGTATTTGGAGGCTGGGTCTTTAAAGAAGAAATTGGGCTACAATGAGGTCATTAGGGTGGGCCCTGATCCGACATGACTGGGAAGGTGAGCTTCCTTGCACCAATCATCACAGGAAGCAACGGTAGTGGAAGAATTTACGAGAGCGGTCAGATGCAGTGAGCACTACTAGACTTGCTGAATGTGCTGCAAGGGAGCAGTGGGCAGGCAGGACAGCCCGAAGCTGACTGCTGCTGCCCTGGGCTACAAGGAAGCAGCAGGCCGCGCAACCAGAGGTGCTCTGCTGCCTCGCAGACTGGATTAAGAGGCGTACTTGGAATTGCAATGTCTTCTCAGTTAGAGTGAGTTTTTCCCATGATCCAACAGGATTTTTCAAGTGGACAGTTTGCACTTCTGGGATTTCTGGGTGGAGCAGGGGAGCCCAGCGCCCTGGGGCGACCCTCTGCATCAATGTCTATGGAGAAACTCCTGGTTGGAAGCACCACGGTAGGCAGTGGAGAGATTCAGAAGGAGCTTTGTGATTTGAAGTTGTGCATGGAGAAGGGACATTTCCAGCAGACCTGGCCTCTGGGCAGCATGCAACACCCAGGACGCTACAACTTGGCCTTGTCCTTAGTCCATACCCCACCTAAAGGAATGACAAGAAGAGATTTCAAAGATGCACGTGCACAGCACACGTGTACCATCAGACTTGGGTTTTCTCATGTGTAAGGGATTCTAAACTCTTCCACATTGACACAAGTTAAATTTGGTTGATGAGCTTAGAGACCACATTCTGTCGAAATATTTTCTATCAATGTGAAACTCATTTGCTTATGAAAAGCAGATGAATGGGCACTTGGAATCTAAGGAATTTTCTGAAGTGGATTTTTTTGAGATAATCCTGGAGCAAATTGAGCAACTAAGTCAACTGAGATTTTTTTTTCCAAAACAGAGAAACAGAAAATTATGCATTTTTTTCTAATATGCAATGGTTTAGAAGTTGATTCTAAGCCTTCCAAACACTCCCCATTTATTTCTAGTAATGAGAAGAAAAAAAAAAAAGCAAATGGGCTCATATTGTGGGTCAGCGAGAAATTCCTTGTAATTACAAGAGCTAATAAAATTTCTCTTTCAAATGAGGACATTTTTCAGAGTGGAAGAAAACACTGTTAACAGTTATGCAAGGAGAAAGTCAGAGTACGTGTTGCTGTAAGTAAACACGTAGTCTTCACACTGGACAAACAAATGTTTAGGTCCTACTTACAGCTGTCCCTGAAGAATCTTCCAGCACATTGTCTCATTGTTTGCTAAATCTTAAAAATCACAAGCACATTTTTTTCCTTCAGGCAAAGCCATTCGGATAAGCTTAGGGTATCGTGCATTTTCAGTATTTTCCAAAGCTTTGCCATGTGAAGAATGACAAGTGTGGGTAGCCACATCTGCATGTTTCAATTGAGCTGCAATTTCACTGATTACTGAAGCAGTGGAATGTTGTAGAAAGAGTAGAAAGCTAGGAGCTGGGAGTCCAAATTTTAGTCCCAGCTCTGCCACAGCTAGCTGTGTGAACATGGACAGCTTTCTTTCCTGTAAAATGCAAAGAGTAGATTACATTTCTAAGGTTAACTATGGCTCTAACATTTCTACGTAGAAGTCGCTTATGGACGATACTCGGGTTGGGAGGGGAGGGAGGCAGCTGTCCTGAAACTGCATTTACACCATGCTTTTCGTGAGTAGAGGAAGCAGAAATTGTCCATGTCCAAAAGTGGAGGGGTGGGTGATACGGGCTGCTATGAAGTGTGTGGGCCAAGCACTTTCTCAATTTGGCTTGAAAGCATCCGAATCTATGATTTGATAAGAACAAGAACAGAGACAAAAAACG